TCGAGATATCGTTTCCCGCAGTCCTACAGTGTGACATATATACATAAAACTAAAAACTAAAAGGGCCTAGATAAACATGGTACACATTAAACAAAACAAAGGGCCTAGATAACCGGGGTATACAGTTTAAAATGTTAATAATATAATTTAAGTGTTCAAAGTACAGTTTCAGTGCAGTAGCATGGGAGATGGGCAGAAAATGTTACTGATGTTCACACGTTCTTAATACTTTATATGGCAGGTTGCTATCAAAACAAAAAACAATAGGAAAAAGACTGATGGAAGTTTAAAAAAGTTAGAAAACAATGTTTTCCCGAAGCATAATGTCAATAAAAAGGTGGCTTCAGTTAGGCTTTTATTTAGTGTTAGTTATTAGAGTAACCAAAGAAGATGATCCTTCACTTTAATGCAAACTTTCTAACAAAAATGTGCTCTTTTTGAGCTGTAAAAAAGTGGGAAAAGATCTATAGTTTAGCAATTTTGTAAACAATCTTATCCCAAAATATAAAGACAATTAAATAGGAGGCCAAAGCATGAGTTGTAGCTGGAGTAGATAATAAGGTTATCAACTAATTCAACTAAAGAAATTAAATGTCCAGCTCATCTTTAAAACAGACCGAAGCCTGGCTATGTTACAGATGTGAATTCACAATTTCTTTGCAGAAATTAATATAAAAAGTGTTAAGTTTATAAATCAGTAGCATGGCTTTTACTTGGTGTTGATTAAAAGTCACACATCTAAGGTTAATATTAGCAGTCCATTTAAAAATAGGCTAATTAAAAGCTATGCTACACCTATGATTTTCTATTTTTTCATAACTTGATATGAAATGCTGCTTGTTTGTTCCATGCACTCTTCCACAAACCATCACAAAAGAGATGAATAAAAGATTCATGTGAAGTTTAAACAGGTTTGAATATCATCTTTTCATGCAGCATAATGTAAAATAAATAGTGGGCTGAGAAACACATTTGGCGTTAATTATTAGAAAAACTAAAATGAAAAGAAGGCTATGTTAGTTTGAAATTGTTTTCCCACAGTATAAAGTAAAAAAAAGAGGTGACTTGAGTAAGACTTTTATTTATTTTAGGAAAAACAAAAATGTACACCAAAGAAGTTGATTATTCGAACCAAAAAACAACTTTTTCACAAATAAAAATGAAAAACAAGTTTGAGACAATCATATCCCGCTACATTAAGACAATTAAAAATGAATCCTAAAGTATGACTTCTAGTTGGTGTTGATAATGCAAAGGAAAGTTTAAGCTTCAGTAAAATAAACCTTTAAGAAACTTTCCCATACAAACACCCTGTCTTCATCCACACAACATCAGTCTGAGATGTTTCCCCTCCAATTCACATTCAAAATATTTTTCCCAGCCGAACTGAGATGTTCACATTGAGTTAAGGTGCCTCTAAATCTCCACTAATCTCTGTTTTGGTATTTCAGTGGCTTCCTTTGACTAACAGGCACACCCAAAGCCACCCATATCTAAATGTTCCATCGTCATTAGCGTGCACACATGTCAGTGAGAAGCACTACGGGGATTTCCACTGACTGGTCCTATCAGAAAGGTCCTGTCACGATATGAGTGAGTGGATAACATCTGACACTGGGATCCAACCCTGTGACCCAAACAGTAATTCTATGGCCACTGCAGAGGCCTCCTCTACAAGCATCTTCAAAAACAGGCCTGGGAGCGCGGGCTGGGATGGATGGATGGGGGTAGGGGGAAAAGCTTGGGAATTCCAGAGGGTGGGCTCTATCGCCCTGGTGGGTGGAGATGGGCTTGTTGTTGTCTCATTCCTCCAACGTGTTTTTCTACTATCCACATACCCGGGAATAACCCCTAGAGTAGATACGAGATAAGGAGTGAAGTTTCTCAATGGACGTAGTATTTTTCAGGCTTGGTTTTGTGCTGTGTGGCCTTGAGTAACCTGCAGCTGGTGAATACACTTCTCTGTGTGTGTGTGTGTGTGTCCTATTGGTGGGAAGAAATATGGATGCAGTGAAGATTATTTTTTCCAAGTTTAATTTTTGTGGAAGGATTGGGAAGTTGTTTTTGTTAAATGTACACTTTTCTATGATGTACATTAACAGCATTTATTAATAAAAAGTAAACAACAGTGGAGTTGTATACATCAAATGAACACATGGAAGCTATGTATATGAAGATAAAAAGTATATTTTAAAGGAGTTATTAACTTCACAAGTGTTTACTTAAGTTTGACTCATATTTACAGTTTTCTTTACTTAATTAGGATTGCTTTGATATGAGAAATGTGCACTATAGTAAACTTTTTTTAACATAAACTAAATCTCTTCAGAAGTTTTTTTTTGCTGTGTCTTTATGATTTTGTAATGCAAATGAGAATCAAGCACATGGCTTTCTTCACAAACGTATAAAGCATTTAATCATGACCCGTAGGCCAGAGGGTTGATTTTCTTCTGACAACTGAACACATCAGTTTTCAGGTTTGTTTTTCTGGGTTTTCCAGTCACATTCCAAAGCTGTGAGTTCAGCTCTTCTCTGGTGCCCACTATGATGCTGGGAGGTTACTGGTCGTATGTTAGGGAACATGAGCTCAAAAACAACATGTGCATGCATGGAAAGCATAGAAAATTAGCATCACATTATTATTCTGTATTGTTATTTTAAGGTATTTCGGTCCTGAGTAAAGGGAACTCTCATGTGGTTAGTTATTTCTGTAACAAAGATGTGAGTTTATTTAACTGAAACATAAATCACACATTAAAACAGGAATCATGTTTTGGTGTAAGATGTTATTCTGAGGTAAAATAAGACATTTGTTGGCATGTTTTATAGGAATTATGAGTTTCTAGCAAGTTTACTTTCTTTGTTAATTTTACGTGTTCTATTTATTATAATACATGCCTAAAAATATGATTGGACATCTATGGATGCATTATGTTTTTGGAAAAAGCTGTTTTTTTAGGAAGGGCACTTTTTTCCAGCTAATTTTAAATGTTGAGCCTTAACATAAGTTATCTTTGCAATGTGATATTTTATGTTAGAAGTTCTTGTCTGACCAATGTTTCACCATTGATAGATTGCCTATTTGTGTTGCCTTAAAACCCCTGAGCACTTATATTAATCACATGTGTTAAAGGTGGGGTAGGTAAGTTTGAGAAACCGGCTCGAGATACACTTTTTGTTATATTCCATGGAATGCTCTTAACATCCCGATAGCCAGTGGCGGCCGGCCCATAGGGGCGCTAGGGGCGCCGCCCCCCCTCTTCCCACATTAAAAAAAAAATATATATATATATATATTTAAAAAATATATTTTTTATTTTTATTTTTATTTCTCGTTTTTGATCAGAATTGTTATTCTGCAAAAGGTGAGCATATCTCCGTGTTTTGCTACCTAAAGCTACGTTGTGTGATGTCTGTATTTGCTTCCCCTGTCGCGAGTTCTGATCGCTCAGTGATGATACTTATATTTCTAGAATATGTGGAATCTCAGCTTGTTAGCATAAGCTTGTTTGTGCATATCCGATAAGTATATCGATTGATTTATACCTAGAGTGCGTTAGCATTTTTTCACTCAGGGCTCATTTAGACGCTTCTTGTGAGACTTGTGTTTTGTTTCGGTAAACATGGTTCATATCATCAGTTAGCTGCGTTTCCTCTGAGTAGGACACATGAATAGTTTATTACATTTTAAGAAGCCCTGAGACACAGTTTCGTGAGAAAAAAAACAGGGGGAAAAAGCCCCTTAACAGGTTAAATGGGAATTAAATCATTTTAAGTCATTTTGAGTGTTCCCAAAGCCCCGGTGTTCTGCAGTTTGTGTGGGCCTACTGTACTGTTGCACAGTTTATGCTGTAGAAACTATGTCCAGGACAAGGTGTTTGGAAGTTTTGGAAGATTCATAGCTCTAACCACACTGAAGATTATGGAGGTATTGATCAGTCTTCTCATATTTTTAAGCCTCAAATTGTCCTCCCCCCCCCCCCCACCTCTAACATCACCAGAAGTCATAATTTAGGGGGTCTTTTCTCAAAAAAAGTTACCGGGGGAGCATGCCCCCGGACCCCCCTAGTATTGTTTGGTCACCATTTCCACAGCCCCACCTAAAATATTTTCCACCAGCCGCCACTGCCGATAACAATGAATATCTTAAGTGCTTTGACAAAAAATCCATAAAAAAATGTCATCTGTGGAAGCCGTAGTACTGTAAAAAGCACGACCAATCATTTTAGCCGGCCCGGCTAAAATAACTGGATGGCCTACCTGCCTGTCAGCCTTCCATCTGTGCACAAATTTATCTCGTGCCCTCATTGGTCATGTGCGCGTTCGTGTGTGTTGGAGGAGGGGCTCTGTAAGGAAGTGGCAGATTTTCTCCGGTTGTGTATTTTCAAATTCTAGCGATCTCGAGCCGGTTTCTCAAATGTACCTACCCTACCTTATGCATATATATAATTATTAAAAAGCCCATAAACTTGCCGTTTCTTTTTGCTTGTTTCTTTCCCTATGTTCCATGTGTTCTCCTTATGTTTGCTTTTGTCCTGCTGCTATGACCACCCAATCAAATCCCAAAGGAATCATTCAAATGTAATTGAATCCCATCTAATCTAATCTCTGAGCATAATAGCTTTATGTAGCTACACCATCATGATAGGCTCCGTCTTTATCCCAAGAAAACACACTATAAACAGTTCACGCCACTGTGTGTCAGAGGCTATTATTAAAACAGGGTTTGTTTTTCTTATCACCACACAACTGGGGTGTATTTTGCTTGTGGTTGCGAGTCCGAGTCCCCTCTTGTCTGGAATCGCAGGGCAGAAATTAGCAGCAAGAAAGCATGTAATTGACAAAGTCACGTGTTCTCACTACGGGAACGGGCACAGCCAGCTCGAGAGCGAATGAGAGCGAAGGAGAGAGAGGGAGAGAGAGAGAGAGAGAGAGAGAGAGAGAGAGAGAGAGAGAGAGAGGGAGAGGGAGAGGGAGGCAGAGGCAGAGAAAGAGGGAGAGCAGTGCAGAGGTGCAGAGAGTGAGGAAAGGATTGAAGCGAAGAAAGAGAGACATGACAAAAATATCAAAAGGCAGAAAGCACGCCGTACCATGCGAGCTAAATTAGTGACCGATGGGATCGAGGATGTCGGATTAATGGTGACTACCGTAGCCCGTTTTCGCAGAGGAAGCTTCTCTATTGCAACTTGGGCGCAGAGGGTCCGCGGGGAAACATGGCCGAAGGTTATTCTGCAATTATTTTCTATTTTCTGCTTAGTTTTTACCTCCCCTATCTGCTAGCTCAAGGAAGGGGGTGTCGTGGGGGGCAAGGTGCAATGTGAATGTTGTTCCAAACCTCAAAAAAACCCGACCTGAACCGCCCCTGCCGAGCAGTGTATCCCACCATGTTTCGCTGCATTAAGATGTATGCATTGTTGGAGCGTATGTGCTACTCTGCCCAGCAGTAAAGCTTGGGGAACCATGTGTACACCTGCCTTTTTGGATCCCATAGCGAGCTCCACTCCACTGTAGCAGCGGGCTGTGGATGCACGAGACAAATCCTCCCAAAGTTACACGGACCAGGCACTCCTGTGCACGAGACCGAGTTCATCTGTCAGGGAGTAACAAACAACTTTCATGCACACAGCACCACGCGCCCTCCAGATCGCCTTTTTGATGCCGAAACTAGTAGTGTAGGAAATTTCTACCGGCCCTGAACTTCACATAGCCCGTGTTTGCAAGTGGAGGGGATTCCCCCCGCGCTTCTTGAAGAAGTTTACGCAACGGAGCCCATTAAACTTATATAAACCTTTATGCGTTCAGGGAAGTAGCCATCCCGTGTCCTGTAAAATGTTTTAACTTGCTTCCTGTGTGTTTCAGGAGGGCCGGGTAAAGGTGGCGGAGAAGATCCCACCAAGTCCACCGAGCAGGAGGACCGGACTCGACCTCAGGTCCTGTCGGGCTCTGGCTTCTGCAAATGGTTCAACGTCCGGATGGGCTTTGGATTTATCTCAATGACCAGCAGCGATGGGAGCCCCGTCGACCCCCCTCTGGATGTTTTCGTCCACCAAGTAAGTTGACGCCAAAAAAGAAAAGAAAGAAAGAGGAATAAACATCTGTGCTGATGTGTTGCGGATTTGGTCTTTCCTAACGCGATGAATGATTGATTCGTTTTATTTCCTTTTCCTACAATTTCCCTGTCACTTCGTACCCCTTTCTCGTTCCCCGCAGGCCCCCTTTTTATTCCTCCTCAGAGCGCCAGTTACATTGTATCATCCGGATGTTTTGCATTGCCCAACATGTTACTGTGTAATCACACGTTGTCCACGGGCGTGAATAAAAAGCACGTTAAGTTTCCTCTTTGAGCCACATGTGTCCAGGCTCTCCCCTCCCTCGCTTCATGTCGTGTGGCTGTGACACGGTTAGTTTCACACTTGGCTCTAATGGACAGTCGGGAAGCATGCTTGAAATAAGTCAAACTGCACCCTCATGCTACTCCTTTGCTGCTGTTTTGTGGATGTGTTTGAAACACCCCTTTGGCCTGTTTTCCACCGCATGTGTACTTGTGATTTATTGTGCATGGGGTTCATTTCTGAAGCTTTGTTTTCCACTTATTCTGCAGCACACAAAGAGGCTCCTCTTCTCCCTGTGTTTAATCGCCCTATTTTACGGTCCTATAAAGTGACTTAAAAATACTAGTGGACTGAGGAGGAGAGGCATTTTCACCATTTCACGTGACACCCTCCCTGAGAGGTGTTTTTATTGTGGGATGTTGTGCTGAACTGGTGGGAAGAGAGGAGGGGGCACATCAGGGGTCAGATGTCAGCAGTGATGCAGTGGTGAATAAAACAGGTCCACTGATCATTCATAAAGGCATTAATTTATTTAATTATCAGCCCATTCTTGTTGAACTTCAACAATGTTTAAAAGCTGTATCCAGTCTCAAAACAACAAGAGGGACCTCTGAGTGTGGCATTTGAACTTGTTATGTTGTGTACACTATAGGACAGTTTGCAGGGAGGAAATGTGTTTACTACTGCTACACTATGATTTATGTTGCATTCTTCTATTTGTTATTTATTTCCTATGATTTGCATCTTGTGATCATTATACATAAACCATTCATCTATATGATGTTTTTCATTCATTTATTCTGACGATAAAGTCAAAAAATTAGCTGACTGATATCAAATAATTTTGCTGTACACTTGGTGCTTAAAAAAAAAATCGCATTTTGAGTGAATTATGTTCAATATGTTTACTCTTACTCCATCTATCTTTATATTTATGTCATTGATTATCATAGGCCGACACAAAATAATGCATTTTTAATATTTGTTATTATATATAAATATTATATTATTATTATATTTTTACATTCGTGTGTTGGTGCAGTTTTTGATATGCGAGCACCACTGTGAATATTTGCAAGAACGAGAGGCTAAGGGAAGTGCATATTGCAGTATCCATCTTTTGATTGATACTTACATATTGTGGCGCCATTGACTGAACGTGCTCCATCAATCTACATACTCCCAGCTCCGATTTCCCTGCTGCCATACAGGTTTGTTAGTAGTATATCAGGGCAGTAAGAGAGGAGAAGGGTTTAGTCTGGGGAAGCAGTCTGAAGAGCCCAGCAGAAGTCAAATAAAGACTGCAGTTTGTAACCTGTAGGACCGGACAGGCTGGTGGTAATAGGTGTCTGTGGGAATATTTCTCAAATGCATGCAGTCTAGTGTGATTTTTTTCAAACCACACGAGGGGGAGATGATTATAATGACTACCTCTGCTCTACATTATGTGTGGCAAGCTGCATTTCCATGTTCAGAAAATGCCAATTGTTCCATTAAAACCTTTTTCTTTTAACAGAATAATTATCTAGCATACAATAAATCATTATGTTTACATCAGTGCATTTCCCCCAGTCTTTCCAGCTACGTGTTTCCAATAATACAGCTGTCATTTAGCACAAAGAGCGAAACAATATGCATTCATAAGCACATTGTCGTATTCTATGCAAAACACCCCAGTGTTTGCATACTCTCTCATTAAAGCAGTCACTCTCATTTGCTCTGACTGTTGCTCCCTCTCTAGACTGTCAGCCTGAAGACTTTGGGAAATATAAATGCTGTTTTGGAAATGTTCTGTCGTGGGTACATAAGAAAGAAATCCTGCAGGTTATCGTGTATGTCTCTACAGTATCAGGAACATATATTCTATATCAAATACATTGAGTACTGCTGTTGAAATCTTTGATATGCATACAGTAGGGCTGCTATTAACCGTTTTTCTTTATCGACTAAACTGATGATTATTTACAAGATTAATAGTTTGGTCTATAAAATGTAAGATTAGTAAAAAAATCAACCCCAATTTCTTGGAAATGTTTAGTTTTGTCAGTCTTAAACCCAATGATATCTACTTTAATATGATTTAAAGAGGAATAAAGTATGACATTTTCATAATTAGGAGGCTAAATGCTATATTTTGAAGAATAACTTATTGAATAATCCAAAACGTTTTAATAGATTTTTCTGTCAATCGACTTTCATTTCTGTAGCTGTAGCACAATACACCATTCACCATACAAGCTGTTGCAAGAGTCTTCAGGGAGAGGTCATGTTATATATGTTTTGCATTTATAATACAAGGTTAACTGATGTGAAAAATAGTGGAAGAATTGCAGATGTATTCCTGTACAATACTCCCCCTACATGCACGAGAGGTGGAGAGAGAGAGCGAGGTAAGAGCGATGGGCAGGGGAAGAGGGAGCATGAGGACAGGAGAAAGAGGGGGAGAGAGGAGGAGTTTTCCTAGGAGAGGGAAAGAGGAGGGATGTGGGAAAAATAAGTGTTGGTGAAGGGGAGGCGGTGCGGGGGGGGGGGGAGGGCGGAGGGGTGCTAGTGGTAGCCGAAAGAGGAAAACATGAGCGAGAGGTTGGAAAAAGACGAGTGAGTGGGAGAGAGTGTGTGTGTGTGTGTGTGAGTCAGCGCGAGGGTCCCCGCCCGACCACGAGTTCTCTTCCTGGGAGGCCTCTTCATCACGGCTCCTATCTGATCACTTCCTTGTTGGAAGGTGTGTGTGTGTGAGAGAGAGAGAGAGAGAGCGAGAGAGTAATTAAGCTTCCTCACCCACTTTACCTCTCTACTTAGTAATTCCACACACAAAGCCGTTTCATTATCTCTGTTTGTCAACCCCTTCCCTACCTGGACTGAGTGTTTTTCTGTGTGGAAATATGTGTGTGTGTGTGCGTGCGCGAGTTCCTGCTGGGACACGGGGGGTGCTCTCTCCTCGGGCATTCTTTTAAAAAGAGGAATTTCTTTAAAGACAAAAAGGCAGGAGGGTTGGGTGGGGTGAGGGGGTGTGTGGCGGTGAGGTGGGGGGGCTGCTTGCCCTTTGTCGGTAATCAGTTTGAAATGTTGAACAGTTTGCTGCTGCTGCGATTCTCCTGAAACCTCCAGAGTGTGTTCAATGTATGGAACCTCCGTGAGTTTGTGTGTGTGTGTGGTTCTTACTTTCTGCTCTTAACCACCAGGTTGTTGATGTCTACATGGGAACCGTTGTAAGATGTTTGAGGTTTTTGGAGTGTGTGTGTGTGCGTGCGTGCGAGAGAGAGTGTGTGTGTGTTTTGTGTAGCGAGGTTAAAGTGGGCCCCTAGTGAGATTAACCTCTGGTCCGTGTCACCGTTTGGCATGCAGGCCCCACCCATCTCTGCCTCTAGATAGCCAGTATCAGGCTTTGTCTCTCCTGCAGCCACACTATCCGCCCCCCCTCCTCCCCCCCCCCCCACCTCCTCCTCCACCAACCCACCCTTCTCTTCTGCACATCAAAAAACGCAAAAGAAGAAGAAAGAGTAGTCATGTGACTTCCTTTTGAGGAGCTGGCCACATACAGCGGAGATGATTGGTAATTGGAAAGGTGGCGGAGTAGAAAGCAGAGCACCTAAAACACAAAGAGAGCGCCTGCAGAGACACACACTTTATTTATATCATTTCATTTAGAAATCTAATCGCACTGAAACATTCAACAATGAAGATTGAAATGAGATCAAACACTCAGTAAATGTGTCTTTGAAATAGGCTTTTTTTTATGCTGGTCTGTTTATTTAATATAAAGAAGTTAGTACTTTAAACATACATGTAATAAGATAAGATAGACCTTTATTGATCCCTGTGGGGAAATTCAGGATTTATTTATTATAGAGTAATCTGCCGATTATATTTATATCTTCTTTTTTAAATTACCCATTCCACAATTGCTTTTTTAATCTGACCAAAGACATTTTTATGAAAACATTTTCACATGTACTTGTTGTGTTTGTGCCTGAAATATTATTGAAACTATTAATTAATACGGTTGCAGATTATATCAACTAAGTGATAAATATATCAATTCTTAGAAAATAATACATTTGGAAAAAGCCCATCTAATGCCCATTCAAGGTTAGTTTTGGAGAGATTTTCTTTGTCTTAAACACGGTTTGAAATGTTAAAATGGAGTGAAATCTACACCCAAATTATATATAAAAACTTTTTCTTTTTTCAGATGAAAAACATTGTTCAAGCATAAGATTCAGATGATACTTAGAAATATTTGGATCATGCTTGAATGTATGAGTGTTGAATTCAGTTCCAACATTTAATTTCCAGAAGTAAAAAACAGCTGCTGGTATTTAGCTTTGCAAAAAAAAGTAAGCTGCAACAAAATCAATGAGATAATGATCTTATTTAATGTGGAATGATAACATTGTTCATACAACTTGAACTGAGACAAACACAGTTGCTACTTGTAAAAAAGGTTTGTGTTTATTCTTTTGCTTATGGTGAAGTTTAGTATCAACATTTCCTTTTTAAATCCACCAGGTATCTTTTTATTTCTCAACCAGCTTAGGTATCTATATACTAAGATTTGCCCTTTAATCATGTCATTTGACAAGGTGTCACTTCAAATAGTTTATATGGGATTTTGGAAAGAACACTACCCTTTGTGTGAAGCAGCTTGGTAAGTGTGCTTCTGTTCTGAACGGCTCCAGTTATTAGCCGGCTGTGCGTTTTATCACCAGCCACCTCGG